TGACTTGGTGGTTCAAGTCCACCTGCAAAGGTTCAGGATATTCAAGTTTTCTGATCTCATGACATCATTAAAAACAGCCACTGTGCTGACTTCATTCTGCAATTCCATTATTCCCCTATGGAACTGAATGGGCCGAGAAAGGGCAGCTTGACAGCTCTCCGCACTAGACAGCAGCAAGTCTTCACAGATCTCTATGAAGTGCTCTGCCACACAGGTGCAGCAATGCCAGCACTTACTCTAGGCAACCTAAGAGTCAAACCCAGTGTAGCATCCACTCCATTACCAGCATGGGTAAAGAAGATGAAATGTTTGTCAAGCTACCTAAATACTGGAGACCATCAGGCTGGTCTTTCAATATTTAGGAGTTTAACAATGAGAGTCCAGATTTTTTTTTTTTATTCAGTACTTGATTAGAATGTATTGCATCTCCTCCTGCATGTCCTGTAATCCACGGCCGCAGTAGGAGCCCTCTGCTTTACTTCTGCAAGTCCGAAGGATTTTTGGAGGTACAGCATATAGGATGATCAGTGTTACTAATGTAAGAAGCCAAAACCAAGAGGAAACAATCTGGGAAAGACCGAACAAAAATACAGCTCAACTCTAAGTAAAACTTAAAAGTTTTAGAGGGAGTGACTCCTGAGATTAACTGGTATCCTCTCCATACCAAGGCCGAATGCTCAGAACGATACAGTCCTCAGCACTGACAGCCTTCAACTTTTTGTATTCTAGGTTTACGCGATCTCCCACAATTGCATCAGAATTCTCAAACAAGGCTCTGTAAGAATAATGAAAGAGAATAATGACAGAAGGACTTCAGATCCCACATGACATGCAGTCAGGATAGGAAGTTAGCCCACAGGTACGAAACTCTCCAGTCTTCTAGTCATGATCATCTTCTTGCTAGGAATACAGGTTTGTCTCCCTGTTGGGAACACCCAGCGGTACTCATGCTGTCTTTACACGTGTGTATGGTTCCTATGTCAAAGAGAAGAATGTAGCAACCTGATATGTGGGGTCTTGGAATGTCATCCAAATCTCACTACTTTTTGAGTGAAATCAGGAAGGTTGCTCTGGGCCACACAAAGGGTGCATCCGAAAACTTGTTACATTTTCTTTTCATGACAGAAAGCATAAGGCAAACTATAGAGTGGTTAAAAAAAAATAATCTAAATAAAGCAGGGTAAAGTGACTAGGAAAACAGCAAATCCAATCAGTGCATCGTGAGCAAGGTTACAAGAAGAAACTCCCAGTCAAATGCCTTGTGAAAGTAGCTAAAGGCAGGCAGAACTATATCCACCAAGTATAGTGCAAGTTGGGAAAATGAACCCCTGATAATAGCCTAAGAGATGGAGAAGTTTTGTTTATTTATTAATAGTATAAAGTTGAGGTTTATACAGGACTAGCCCCTTGGATAAGTTCAGAGCTACTTAAAATAGCCAAGGGATATCCTTTTACCGGAGAAGCAAACAAGTGCTTAAAAAAGGGGCACAATAAAGGTATTCTCTCTCATGACCGGTAGGAAAGGAAATAGGAAAAGTCTCCTGAGTTATAAAGGTAGAATCGATGGACAACCAGCTCTTGAGAAAGTAACCTCGTATTTCTTTGAACCCGCTGGTATCAGGATCTGGGTCTTTCAAATATTAAAACACTAACAGTAACTGCATAGGGATTATGTAGAGGGAGTACCAGATCCACTAGTGCCTGGGAGTGACTGTAATGAAAAATGATGCCCTGAGGTATTACAGAGCACCTGGAATTCACAGAACAAGGAGGAAATAAGGAAAGACTAAGGGATTAAGCTATGACTTGACACCTCTCCTCTTCGTGACACAAAACAGATCTCAACAACTTCAGCATTAACGTATTATTTGTTTCTGTACACCACAATATTCTTTCCTATTTCCTCTCCCAGGTAAATCCTCAGCTCATATGAAGAAAGATGGCAATATATACAGGTTTCCAGCAAAGCCAAGACTAATTACAACACAGCTTTCATAGTGATTCCAGTAAGCTCTTTTGCAGTGTTTCCTGACTTAAATAGCAACCGTTCTTCAGGGAAAGCAAGAAAGCCCTCTCCCGCTCATGGGATGAAGTGTGTAATGTGATGAAGAATCTCAAATGTGGAGAACATGAATGCAGTCAGGATGATGATGATTGTGACATGTGATGGGGTTTAAAAATAAAGGAAACTCCCCAAGGATCCATGTGGTCTGGAAGCAGGGTGAATCAGAGCTCCCCTACAAAACAAGAAAGCAGGTACGTGCCCCTGCTGGAATGGTCAAACAACAAAACATAGCCAAAGAAACAGAATGGTCTATAAAAAACAAAGCATTGTAGAGCTGCAACACCTTTGAAGAGAGTGCAAGAAACTTCAGTTTGACTGACTGATAAAAAGAGTGCCAACTAGGACATGTCAAGATGCAAAATGGTTCCCATACCCACCCCCACCCTTCATCCTCCACCACTTCAGTGTGGATCCCAAATCATGGCATTTTAATTACTACACAAAAAATAATTCACGTAGGGGAGCTTCTGGCAATACCCGTCCCTGCTTGAGCTTCTTGCTTAGGCCATTCCAAAGTACAAGTCCAGGACTGTCCCATAAACCTGACATATCACCGATGTAGGGGACACACCATTTCCTGTAATACTATTCCATGTTCTGTTGTTCCCAGTATATTGCACATTCCAGGACTTGTAAGTACTTCTTCAGACCTTTGAAGACAATGTTTCTCTTTTAGAAAGAAGTGCACAAGACAGGGATGACTGAGCCTCAGCTGCGTCTCTACAACCTGCCTTTGCCATGATCCAGCTGCAAGCTCCTGAACAGTCCACACCAGCCTGCTGGTCTCATACACTCACTGTGAGAGATCCCCAACTGGGGGACCACTGCCTCCTCCGTCAAACAGAATTTCCCTGCGGGTTGGCTCAGGTATTGATAGCTCCTGGGCAAGGTCATTAAAACGAGATATGTAATCTATGCTGTTCTCATTCATCATGCAAGCCAGCTGGGAATCCACCACCTAGAAGAGACATAGGAGAAAATAAGAGCTACATGTCAGTGGAAATTTCACAGAATCACAGGATTGTTTAGGTTGGAAGGGACACCTGAGATCATTTTGTCCTGCTCAAGTAGGGTCAGCTAGAACAGATTGCCCTGGACCTTGTCCAGTCAGGTGCTGAATTATCTCCATGAATGGAGATTCCACAACCTCTCTGGGCAACATGTTTCTGTGTTTGACCACCTTCATATTAAAACAGTTTTCTTGCGTTCAGGTGGAATTTCATGTGTTTCAATTTGTGCCCGCTGCCTCTTGTCCTGAGAAGTTTGACTCTCTCATCTTCATTCCCAGTCTCTCCTCATATGAAAGATACACCTCATCTGAGTGAGAGAATAGCTCTTATCCATGGCTCAATGGAAGCCTCTTAGGAAAAAAAAACCCCAAACCAGTAAAAGACTCCCTATAGTCTCAATGGGCCTTACCTGTCTATCTTTAATTCAGCACTAAGATGCACTAGTAGATGCACTGTCCAAAAACTCTATAGATATTACCTCTGACATAACAACTGCATTTCTAAATAAGACTTGTTTCTGAAGGACGTTTAATAAAAGGCCTTTCAAAATTCTCCCATCATTAAAGCCATTGATTCTTCTGAAGACGCCCACACAAACCCACATCTGCCACAACAGCTGCTCTGGTGTGCCTAAAATGGTGGCTTACCCCACTTTCTTCTGAAGGCAGTTTGTAAGATCAAGGACTGCAATGTCACTTCAAATCCACACAAATAAATTATCATATATTCCCTTAGTTAACACACACCTTGACAGATTCTCATACCAAGTAAGCAGAATCCTCTTATTTATGCTAGAAAGTGAAGCTGTGTGCAGAGTTTGAAGCTGCCAAGGGCACATTAAAACAGCATAACCTTGCTGCAGCTTCTGGTCACAAGGTCTGTACAGCACCTCCTCATCCAAATCCAAAGGGCAATGGGGGAACGACATTTTCCTTCCATCAGGGTAAGCCCCGACACAGTTACAGTGTTAACACTGAGTCAACCACTGTAAACTGTCAGGTAATTAAGACTGGGAGGGGCCTGTAGAGGTCTCTAGTTCAACCTCCTGCTCAAAGCAGGGTCACCTAGGAGGACAGACCAGCTTACCAGGGCTTTATCGATATTAGTCTTGAAAAGCTCTGCAGACAGACACTGCACATCATCTCTGGGCAACCTGTTCCCCTCCCTGACTGTCCTCTGGGTGAAAATGTTTTTCTTTACATGTAGTCAGAACTTTTCTCAATTCGGCTTTTGCCTGTTCCTCCCACCATGCATTACCACTCTGTGAAGGGCCTGGCTCCATCTTCTTGATGACCTCCCTGCAAGCACTGGTGGGCAGATAGGTCCCTCCTGCCCTGAAGCCTTCTCCAGGCTGAACAAGCCCAGCACCATCAGCCTTTCCTTAGACAGGTGCTTCAGCTTCCTAATCATCTTGGTGGCCCTCTGCTGAACTTGCTCCAGTACATCTGTCTTTCCTGTATCGGGTGCTCAAAACTGGCCACAACATTCCAGACGTGGTCTCACAGCTGTTGCATAGAGTGGGATAATTATCACTTTGTTCATTCTACTGGCTATGCTCTTGCTAAAACAGGCCACAACACTGTTGGTTGTCCTAACTGCCACAGAACATCCTACCTCATGTTCAGCTTGCTGTCTATCAAGATGCCCAGGTAATTCTCAGCAGAGCTGTTTCCTAAACACTCAGTCTCCAGCCTATGTTGCTGTTGGGGTTATTGCTTCCCGGGGGCAGGACTTTGCATTTGTCCTTGCTCAATTCTGTAATATTCCTGCAGCTCATTCCTGTCTCTGCCCCTCTGAAAGGGACCTCTTTCCTCAAGTGTATCAAATGACTGCTGGTCTTCACTCCACCCCTTCAGAAGATTTCAAAACGAAGGTAATCCTACCAACAGAGAAAGTAACTCAGCAGCACCGGACCTTCTGCCTTTCTCTCAAGTAACTTAGCGTTAGCCATTTCCTGCTTCTTCCTTCGGGACCTATTCATTTTTTCTACCAGTCCTCCAACTGTACTGTATCTGCATCAGTATTAACACTTCTCTCATCTTTAGTATTTTCAGTTCCTGCTCTACAAAGCAGGACACACAAAACAGAAGGATTACAACTCTCTGTCAGACAAAGATGTGTCTAACGAGGTAAACGTGACCTCCTCCAGCAAAAAGAACCTGGGTCGAAGGTGCTCACAACAGCTTTTTGCACCAGCTCTGTGCAAAACCTCGAGTCATTTTACATCTCTCCGTTAAGAATGTAACCCTGTTTTACTAAGCTGAAGTGCAGATGTCAAAGCATCTTTGCCTTAAGTATCTCAGGAAGTATGATGGACAATATACACTAACACTGCACTAAAAAAGGAAGCAGCCAGCTGGACGTAATCCGATGACATACCTCTGCTACATCTGCCAGTGACCGTGACACAAAAGAGTCCCGTGAGTTTCCATCCAGAAGGCTGGGTCCCAGTAAGGAGGTGCCGCTGGCAGTCCCAACAGGAGTTGGCAACATTTTTCGTCCCTTCTCAGGGGAGATGAAACTTGCTATAAAGAACAGGCACATCAGTAAGTCACTGCACTGAATGTTTGCAACTGGGAGGATAAAGAGAAGGACAAGGAAATAGAAAATGAAGGACAAGTATCTATTTCTTCTGCCTCTTAAAAATTACATGTTACCAGCATGAACACCATCAGCACACTGCTAAGAGTACAGAGACTCTTTACTCTGGCCCCATTAAATATTAATTAAAAAACCCCACCTACCAAACCCCAAACAAACCCAGTGATCTCATGTCTTTGAGATTATGCTCACCAAGCATAGAACAAAGCCTGTTTTTCCAACAGCAGAGCCAAGGGCATCTTTTCATTTTGGCACAATAGCCAAAACATCCCAACCTAACTGATGAGTCAGGCTCTAAACAGACTACAAAGAAATGCCAAGGAATTATGTATCCCAAGGTATGGGCCCAATCTAGCAACAGGATCTTTTCAGGAACAGACTTGTAAAGAAAAAAAGAAAAAAAGAAGAAAAAAAG